ACGTATGATTGGTGACTTCGAGTCCCACGAACGTACAATATAGACATTTCAATACTGTCTTGATCACTACTACTCGCAAAAAAAAAGCAATTGTGTTCAGAATGCTTCCGTCCTAATGGATTATAATGGCAGAACACGACGATATACTACGTACAGCAGATTATTTTTTGGACAATGCTAGTGGTTTAAATGGGATGCCTGCTGCATATGACTGTACCCGGCAAACTCGCACCACGAGATGCCGCCAGGAGGAGGTGTTCCCGGTGTTCCCCTATACTACCCCTTTCGTCCGTTCGACGAATTTCTTCGGTCAACTCTACCATTCGACAGCATAAGAAAATATCCTTTACCCGTTCCATATAAACTGTCCTTAAATATTCCATAGAATCGGTTGTGGATTGCTATTTATGCCCCACAACTGCCAAAATAGTCCATATGTGCCAAATCCAATTAGCTCTTTAGGTAAGATGTCCGTATTCATTAACGCCATCCATCTCTCATCCCCTTCATTAAAATTTATTTTCAACAGCTCTCTCGTGACTCCCGAATTTTCACATCATATCCATGTCACGCTGAGCGTGTCTGTTTGTTATACGATAGAATAGTTCATGATACATCATATTGTTTAGATTCCCCGACTCGTACCCAATTTAACGTAACGAAACGTCTGCCCATTCCATGATTGTTTGCACTCCCGTGGTCTTTTCGATTTTACTGTGGCCACAATCCCTTGGCACTCAACTTCAAATATCTCTTTTTACTTCTGGACAATGGGCACGAGGGCATCTATAATTATCTTCAATATGATCATCAACGGCGAAACACGTTGACCGACTACCACATGATCCGGATATCTCCTCACTGTCGACCGGCACCAGCCAGTCACCGTGGCACGCTGCCACGTGTGATCACTGCCAACGCTGTCATCACCATGCCATCTCATATGGCACTTCAATGTCAATCTTCAAGTTAATTGTCAAGTAAATCACTTCAAGTTTATTATCAACAAGATCTTCTAATTGCATATTTGTGTACTGTTTCCAACATTGTTTTGAAACATTGCTGAAACCAGCATATCAATAAGCTGCCATTAATATCGTAAGCCTGATTGACTACATTACCAATTGTATGTATGTATGTATGTGTACTGTTTGTGACAAGTGTATGAAAGTGTATTTTGATTTTAAAAGCTTACAAACCTTTGTTTCATTTCTCAGGCCGCTGACCAAGGTACGAGTTCTGCACGGTGTTATCCTGCCAGCCTTCATGGGTCACAACGGACCGTCATACACATGCACGCAACAGACCGAGCTCCAGGCCTCCGCCGCCAGGCCACGGGCCCAGGCCGGCAGCGGGGACGTCGAGATTCAGCGAGTCGAGATCTGGTACCACGCCATCAAAGCGACCCTGGCGCCACGCCCACGACATCTACACGAGCGTGGTTCACTCACCACCGAACAAGACGGGTCGTCTTCTGCCCCTGGCGCTGCACACACGACATCCAATCGTGTGCGGCCCGGATGAACAGAAGAGGATCAACGCCAACATGATCCGGTACCACTGACATCGACTCGGGACGTCTGCGAAATATCTGCCCGCACTGCGCCTCAACGAGGTCCCTGCTCTGCCTCAATCAGCTCTGGCCTGCCAAAACTGGAGTCCAGCGAAAAGGACCACATCTACGGATCCCACAGCAAAAAGGGACAATCGCAGGCTGGCCAGAGGCTGCAAACATCAGGGATACTCAATCTCCAAGCACAAGAGATGCGCGCAGCGTTCTGCAGACGGACGTCCACCTCGGTCATGTGTTGTTGTTTTGACGCCTCCTGTTGTCGGCTCATGGGGGAGGGTAAGATAATGTCGTAGCGAACCTTGGGTTCAGCCGCGCTTACGCGTGAGGCTCCGTTCTCTGGGCACAGTCGCTGTCAAACCGAAGAGCTATTTCTAACGAGCTCGGTTGGCAGGGACCAATGCTTTCAGGAACTGGCGCACCTCATATGTACGCCGGCTGACCCGGTATCTTGTGTCACGCTTGGCACAGACCACCCAGTATAACTTGGGATGTGTTGATGAAAATACACGCAGTGTTCCGGACCCAGCCTGAGTGTGTGGACGGAGCGCTGCTCCCGAATGGAGGTAAGGGGGGCCGCGCCCAGACCAGCACTACAGCTCTAGGTCAATATTTAGGGGTTTTTGGGAGGTATAATTGTAAAAAATTTGCTAAAACAGGTCAAAAGTTTTCGCTGATAACTTTTGATCTAATTAACCCGCGCCGGGCAGGTGCTCCGCGACTTCCGCGCCGGGCCGGGGGGGGGGGTGTCTGAAAACCCCCCTTCTAACTCGGCTCCTGGGTCACGTAGCGACACGCGGTAAGCGGCATTCAAAAGAGCGTCCAAAATAAGTACGAAAACACTTCAGTCATTTTTTGGGTCAGGTCAAAGGTCAGGTTACCAGAGGTCACCAAAGGTAAAATGTTGGCTATTTCAACATTTTGGAAACTGCCAACGACTAACTCGGGAACCGATAGAGCTACAGCGCCGCGGAAAAGCGCATTCGATAGCTCTTTTGACGCTCTTTCGCCACTATGTCCTCAGATTTGACCTCAGGTCAACGGTTTAGCCTCCAGAGGGCAAAAACTCCAAAAATAGCCGTTTTTTACGAACAGTGTTTTTCGGCAATAACTTCTGACTCAAAAAAGCCACGACATTACTTTTGCCAGAATCGTGTTCCTCTTGTCAAAACGCGTCGAATGAACTATAAGTTGACCTTGAAAAGTCAACTTAAAAATTTGACCTCAGGACCTGACCGGAAAAGGTCATGTTGCATATCAGTCGATCCGCATCGTCGAGCCGAACACATCTAAGGCGTTTTCATCGCTCTATCATGCCTCTATCAGAAGTTATTAGCAAAAAACTGTTAGATACTATTCGTGACCTGAGATGACCTCGGGGACATCTCAGAACGAGGGGTCACACTCCGGGTCACAGGTGCAATTTTCGGGTTCAGTGTGTCCATTTTACCTACATCCCGATGTTTGAGAGTGTCTAGAATGGCGTTCGTGCAAAACAGACGCCTTTCAATTTTCTCCCATTGAATTATAATAGAGAGGCCGCAAAATTGACCTGACCTTAGGTCACCGATATCGAAATTCCGAGATACACGTTTAATAGGTTTTTATACACGCTTTTATAGGATACACGAGATACACTGTTACTCTCATCAATCGCTGAAAGTTTCAAGGCAATCGTGCGGTCGGTGTAGCCATGACGAACATTCTAATTTGTTTGACCTGACCTTGAGAGACCTGGGTCTGAAATTTTCACAGCATGTGCGGAAAAGATGCACGAACAGGTGTGTTAAAAACGGCGGCGCGGAGCTGCGAAAAGCCGCCGGGGGGGGGGGGTGTTCAAACACCCCCCGGCCCGGCGCGGGTTAAGATAGAGCAAAACAAAAGCACCAGTGAACTCAGCACGTCAAGGCGTGTCGAATGATATACTTTTTTTGTTTGCTTAAGTGTACTTAAAAGTGTAGGTATTAAAGTGTACTTAAGTGCACAACTTAAGTAAAACTTAAGTCTTAGGAATGGTTGAAATGCTTAATGTTGCATATCATTCGACTCAGCTGTTCAAGAGGAACAGAATGATACCATCTTGAAACCTGTTCTATTATGTGACAAGTTATCGGCACAAACGTCATTTGACCTGAGTTGACCTCATTTGACCTGAACCTTAGATAAGTACACCAAACAAAGAAACACCGAGTGACATTATGTTAAGTACTGTGGTATCAAAGAACAAAAGGGATACAACGAAGCGGACATCTCTATATTTTCCGAATAGGAGTTATTTGAATATTTTCCCATAGGCTTAACATTACGACGTAATGACCCCTAACTGACCTCAGGTCAGTGACATAAAAAACGAACTACATATTATACAGCTCGGTGAACTTAGCACATCCTGAAAGTTTGAAGGAAATCAGTCCAAAACTGTGCGTTGGACAGGTACATAAAAAATTAAATTTGACCATAACCTTGTACCCGTTTTTCTGAAATGGTGGCCTGACCCAAGGTCGACCGGACCTGAAATTTGCAGATCACATGAAAAAAGGTTGCCCCATAGGTTGTGCCAAATTTAGCGGCGTTGCGCGCCGCCAATTTTACGCTATCTTTGAAAAACCTTAGGGGGGGGGGGTCGCATCGACCCCCCTGCCAGGGTGAGGGTTAAGCTTTACTAATAACGCTAAGAACGTCACCAAACATACAGAGGCCGTCAAAAAGTAAGCCATTTGGAGGCCCCCTCGATAGAGAAAAGGCCCCCTGGCAAGCGGAACACGGAGGCCCCTTTGAGCCCGGGCCCCCTCCCCTGGAAAATCCTGGGTGCGCCCCTGAGCCTAAGAATTCTATTAAAAATTAAAAGTTTAAACCACGTACGGCTTAAAACTTTTTACCATGTACGGGTACAGGCTGGATTTAGCTTTTTGTCATTCTGGTCCGTGGCGAGCACTTTTATTGGCCCAAGCACCTACAAGTAATGTCCTGGGTAATGTATGGCTTATAAGGTTCTTAGCGTGTTCTTCGTTGGAAAAGTTGCCACTCTATAATTTTCTCTTCAATCGAAAACCGATTCTTTTTCTTATTAAATAAATATATGAAATCATGAAAAAATTGTTGAAAATTGATGTAAATTTCTTTCTTTACGAAATCTTATGATAGCATTAATGTTTTATACGTAAATATGGTTTTGACTTTAGGCAGCGCCGCAAAAGTTCCTTTTCCTGGCGTTGAAGGTAAATATTGTTGTATACGATTGGTATGTAAAGAAATAGATATTCTGTTGACGATATATTCTGTTTTTGTGTTTTATCTGCTTGATCAAAGTTCAAAGATTCCCCTCCTGTAGCATTTTATTGAAAAGAACCGCAGATACATGCATATTTCCCTCGTCGACACAATGCTTACGGTTCTGACGCATCATATTCATTTGTTGTGTGTTCATTGTTCAGAGGCCATTATTATAAAATAAAATCTGAGCAAGCTGCAATTTTTTCCTGACCTTTAAAGAGGAACTGGAGGATGCATGTCAAGCACGCATGTATGTTTATAATGAGAAGCGGTTGTATTTAGTTAGGTTCTTATTTGCAGCCGATAGCTTGAATTTATTTGATAAAAATGGCTTCAGTTCTCGGCGCTCACTAGCTCATGATGTTTTGGGTACATTCTGGCAGTATTTATGTAACCATGAATTTGTGTTGGACATGTAATTTGTTGTTTCTGAAATGCCATTAAATTTGTGTGTAACCCCTCACTCCAGTTAAGGAATTGGTTTTGCCATGCAGTGTGAAATTGGATTGTGTCCTGTTTGCAGTACATCAAGCCAAGGGGCCACAATGGCTGACACTGAGACTAAGAAGATGAAGAGGAAGCACCTCAAGCTGTATTCTAAGGCTACGTTTACCGGCTACAAGCGTGGCCTCAGGAACCAGTACGAGACCTTTGCTCTCCTGAAGCTGGAGGGAACGTTCAATAAGGAGGATGCTAAACACTACCTTGGCAAGCGCTGTGTCTATGTTTACAAGGTGAGTGGGCTGGAACTCTGCTGATGAGCGGGGTCAGTTCAGCTATATGCTTTTCAAGACAATAATCCAGGCCCGTGCATTTTAAAAATAGTTTTTAATTTCTACAATTAGTTTCGATTTCAAAGAAATCCTTGCCAGTAATGCACAAAAATTCAACATACTTTTCTCAAAGCAAAGTCTTGAGGGAGTATGTTCAAGGGAGCCCATGGCAACATTTCACCATACTCCAGTTGCATTCTTTAAATAAGTGTTGAAATTCACATTTTTCCAAATTCAGACCATTTAGACATCTTTGCTTGATATTAGCTACGTTTCCCTGGCACAAGTAAAGCAGATTTTGCAAAATGGATTTGGTCCTTCATAGCATTTCAGCATCATTTAAAATCGTAACTATCACATTAATTACTAGCTAAAGCCATATATATGCTCATTTACTGATAAAAGTTAATAGTATCCAAGAAAACGTGTGTTAAATTTTGTCAAATCGATTCAGCTATGTCATGGAAATGCAGTGATTGTTTTGGCCCACTGCAGCTGGGGTGGGCGGGTTGTGACTTTACCTATTCACTGCATCCAAAACTAGTGTATGCTGAATAGTTATGCTGAATCATCCTGCTCAAAGTGAAGTGAATGCCATGAAGCTAAGCTTTATGCTCCTTTGGTTAACCCAAATTATGATAAATGATTTAATAGATGGCTATGATATTGCATGTCATTTAGATGTCTTCTAGAGACAAGGTGAAAAGTTTGATCAATGTTATTTTTATATAAGTGGTAGAATATGTAGCTGAGATAAATGTGACATTGCTTTGAGCAGTCTTTTTGCCCTATTTGTAATGCATGGCTGGTCAACTAATGGCATATTGAGACATATTGAGGTTCAGTTCCCATTAGTCTCTTTGGTACTAATAGTGATGCTTAAATCTTGATTGGACACTTATAGATTGGACAGATGTTCTATTTGAAGAATCTTATAGGAAACCTTGTTCGAGTGAATGAAATGAGCTCATTGATGTTGTGTATTCCCCATGTCATGACTTTCACATTTTTTTTTTTTAGTGCAGGAAACAGTTCCTGTTCCCTTGCTTATATTTGTTTTTGTTTTTTTAGTAAGGTATGTGCCCATGTGTGTACATTAAAAAACAAGTTTTTTTAGACGTTGCTCTGTTCATAAAATCTTTTATTTTAGTACCCTCGAATATGAACACGGTGGTTGTAACTATGTTACGGTTGACGTATAGTCGACTATAGAATGATGTTCCACTCCTCAGAAGCTATTAGTTGACCGGAGCGCTAAGTTGTGCCGTTTATTACCTACGCAATTAAGCGTGTCGATTGTGAGCATGGGGACAAAGCTATAATTTGTGAACCCAGCCCGTGGGATGCGGCATATCCTACCTTTCCAGGCAAATAATTGCCTGTGAAAAGTGGAACATCATTCTGTAGTCGACTAGGCACCGATGCCTCATTGTTTCGTCGTGTTTTAGTGGTATTAATGGCATCTTTTCCTTTGGCAGGGCAAGAACAAGTCTCGGGTGCCGGGAGCGCCCAACCAGCACAAGAACCGCCTGCGTGCCATGTGGGGCAAGGTGGTGCGGATCCACGGCAACAGCGGCTCGGTACGCGCGCAGTTTAAGCGCAACCTGCCCCCGAACGCTATGGGCAAGACTGTGCGCGTGATGATGTACCCCTCGAGGAGCCAGTGATCCAATACAGTGACTCGACCACAGTGTGAGTCTGGCCGGGCGGCACGAGCAGAGTGGCGGGGTGTGGGCGGTGATCGGTGTCCGTCGGGGTCGGGTGTGGAGAGCGGCAGGGGACGGTCAGAGCGCGGTGCCGCCACCGTCAGCTGTTCGACACCAGGTGGCGCCACAGCAGGCAGCGAGTGGGGTGACTGACGAAACCTCTGGCGGAACAGCTTCCCTAACACTGCACGGGAACTACGCTTAGTGACAGCCAACCAACCAACACAAATTGCAGCACCGATATCCACAGTTCCAATAACAATCGTTATTAATCGCCTGAAAGAATTCCAGTTTACATTTCTTTAGATTTATCTGGCTGCAGTTTTTGAACTATCGTATAACTGAAGGGGCATTATCAGATCAATTTATCAGACCAGATGGCGGCAATGGGCTCGTTTCGCTTATCATAATTGCTTTGTTACCTCTGTAAACTAATAGAAAGACGGCCAACCTCACCAGTTAGCCGTTTTCCAGAACTCGCATAGACCGAAACATATTGAATTATTGATGACTTTAGTCGACGGCTTTCCAAAGTCCTAACGTTACGCATTATGAAGCAAAATGATCACTCGAAATGGGTGCTATGGTCAAACGTGTTTCTAAATCACAGCCTATTTCCAGACAATAGGGTTACATTCGGTGGCCAGTGCGGCCTCATTTCCGCCATTGGGTAATTCATAGTGAGGGACAATCTTCTGAAGTACGGTCAGAAGCCAGAACTTCTGACTGACGTCGCCCCACTGACGACCATTGTAGAAATTCCGAACTACTCTAAGAGCAGCTGCCACCGGTATATCTGAAGTTACTACGAAATTTATGTTATGAAAATCATTTGCGAAATAAGGCGTCTGCGTCGCACACCAATTACGCCGTAATAACGTTGGTCTAACGCTCTCTACAAACAGACATAATAACACAATGAATCAAGCTCATACTCTGTCCTCGGTCCGTTATTGGATATTTCTGCCTGGTCAATGGTCATAGGCCCGTCTACAGATTTTGCCACGGCAATACTTGAGTAGGGTAGGGTGGGGTAATTTGAACATGTGGGGCAATTTGAACATAGTGTGAAAAACAGAAAATTACGGAAAATCCATAAGTGGCATGACAATAAGACCAATGAGGGAAATTATCGTAACTAAAAGGGCTATCATATGAATGGGGTTTAAAGTTTCAGGGAATGAAGATGTTGACGCACACTGTAAAAAATCAATTTCGCAAGTAAAAACGCCTAAAAACACGTCATTGCAACTTCATTGCAGCGCAAAATCTTGCATTGCTAGCGCCTAATACGCAACGGCTTTTGTTGTACAATGACCTAATCAGTGCCTTCAATCCAAGAAATTTGCTTTTGAAGCCTGTTTTTAAATATGGCAAAATAACTTTTAGCGTGGGGTAATTTGAACATAGTGTGAGAATTTTAGTGAAGACAGGGATAGCTCCGAAAAAACAACGCTCCCAGTTTTTTTTTGCCAATATTTTCGACCCAAAGCAGTAGCAGATTAGTGATGCCAGTTTTATAAAAATTTACGTCTAATATCCGTCTAATGTCTGGCATTTTCGTTGATTTCCGTTCAAAAATGTTTAAGTCAGCCATTTGTCCAAATATGTCCGAAAATTACGCATTAATCAACACTCAAAACTGTCATTTAAATTGCTTATAATGTAATTTTACCAGCCAAGAAGTGTTCATTATATTAAGAGCTTAATAAGCTTTCCATTCGCCAATCAATGCTATGCACGATTACTTTATAAAAAGCGCTGAAGTGTAGCAAGCCATCGTCCAATGTTGTCCAGTCTGCTACCTTTGTCCAGCCAATTCCGAATTGGAGATTGGACAAAATCAGAACTCCAAATGTCCAGGTTTCAATTGGCACCACTATAACAGATGCAGTAAGGTTGGGAGAGTTGTTATCGAACAAAAATGATAGACGTTCTGTTAATTGAAGAGAGGCGAATTCTGTCAACTGACCGGTGTGCAGCATGCAGATATTGATACCTTGCAACTGTTATTTTTGTTGTTGTGTTGATTTTTCAAGTGAAGGTATGTTAAGAATTGTTCTGCCTATTTGTTTATGGGTCAAACAACATCGGTGCTGGCGAGACTATCGTTTTTATGACAGGTAAAGGCAGTATGTTCAAATTACCCCACGGTGGGGCAATTTGAACACACCGTGACTTGGTGGAGAAGTGAGGCTATGCTTTTCAAGGTATGCTCGGCTCGTCCAAAAATGAGGCTTGCATGGTGAGAGCAAGTGACACTTGCGCTACTGAAGCAGTTTTTCTTCATCCAGGGTTGAGCTGGAATTTGGTACAACGGAGAAGACGTAAAAATATGTTCAAATTACCCCACACTACCCTAACTACCACGCCTCCAATCTCCATCATATCATAAACGGAGAAATATCTGATGTAATCTGATGTATGTAAATTCTAAAAAGATGCGACGAGCTTATGATTGACATGACCAGGGCTACGGAGTCTGAGTCGGAGTCGCTCAGAGTCGATAGTTCTGACAGGGGTCTGAGTTAGAGTCGGAGTTAGTTTTTGGAAGCCGGAGTCGGAGTGGGAGTCACTGAAAATCCATCGACTCCGCAACCCGGGACATGACCATCGGCGAAGCTGCTTTTCAAAGACTTTCAAACGCGGCTTTTCGTTTCTCAATCGTATCATGATACCTACACCGCAAAGCAAACCGTGCATTTTTTTTTAGCTTTTATGGGATATTATGAATAACGCTTTTGCCGTTGATGGCAATAGTCGGGAAACGATTGAAACGTCAATTTTTGGGCTGAGCATCGTTTGGAAAAAAAAATTGTGAACGCTCAATTCAAATGTCATTGTTTGATGAGTCAATGATTTGACATCAATATTTGACATCAATGATGTCAAATATTATGCCTCAACACCGGTTCTCGATCGTTATCGTTTTGTAGAAATGGCCAAATTGCCTACCCTTTACATAAACGGTCCTGTGAGGTGTACTGTGCCAATCGTTTTGTCATGGTTGAAAGTTGAAACACAGGTTGGTTTGGTGATAGGTAGCTATAATACGCTTATTTTTACAACAGGCAAACACTATTGCCCGAGAATTTAGAAACTTCTGACTTGACCAAAAATGACCCCAAACCTCGGAGAAATGCGGTTGTGGTAGCCTCAGACGCGCACCCCACCGAACACGGTGCCCAGTGGCGCAGTGGGCTCCCGAGCAGCCAGAAAAGGACGCCGGGCAATCACGGTTGTGGGTGCTCCCCCGAGCTGCCTGCCCGCCCTCAGTAATTGATCAGCGAAATGGCCAGCGGGCACGGCCGGCGTCAACAATCAGGGCGACAGGCAGACGTCCGGATCGGCCGTCTCGAAACTGCGGTGCACAGCTGGTTGTGTTTTTCTTAGGTGAATGTCCATCCTTTCCTTGTTTATTTCTTGAAATTTCGATGAATGTTTAGTGTATACCTACGTTTTTAAACCGGCATGTCAAATATTATCAGCTTTCATTTGGTGTCTTTAGTAGGATTTCAATCCAAAAGAGACTCCTCTGTTCTTTTCCACATAATAACACATTCTAGGACACTCCGATTGACATGCTGCTTCGAAGGATGTCCTACATTGTTTCAGAATGAGTTCATTTTTAGGGATCGGGTACGGGGACCCGCAGCTGCTACTGTACAGCGAGCTGTCAGAGGGCACGCACAGAAAACCTCAGCTGCTCTTGTACAGGGCCCGGCAGTCGTAACGGCAGTCATATATATATATATATATATATATATATATATATATATATATATATATATATATATATATATATATATATATATATATATATATATATATATGTAAACCCGTGTTTACTGAAGGTGAATCGACATAATCAAAAGTGAAGAACATTACATTGTATTTAGCTTTATGTTACATTTTAACAGAGCCAGGAGCGCAACCTCACTCCTTGAGCTCTCGATCCAGACTCTCCGCCCACAGTCAGCCGAACACCTCCGTGATCAGCTGAATGGGCGAAAACATAGTGCACATGAGATGCTCCGATCGCGGCATCCGCTATATAAAACATTATACTAATTGGTCAGTAAAGCCTCTAAGCATGAACAAGAGTGTTTACCATTCTAATAATATGCTGTACATAATAAACACATTTAATTGCAGTATCTAGGACAGCTTCGAGTTCATACCTGAAGCAACAATTGAATAGCAGACGATCACGCGCAAAACCGTTGAATTAAATTCCTGTCCAGACATCATATGGTCACCGGGCTCCTCTCGCCGGTGAAACAGATAAACTTTAATCGGCGCAAAGCTTGCCGATTACACTTCTCCCTCCTTTGAATGAAAGGCGTGCACTTACATCTAGAAACACTCATTGACACATGCGCCATCATCAGCAGTTGCAGCACGCGCCACGCGACACCATAACACCGTGGTCGCTAGATGATGCCTGGCAGCATTCGGCTGACGTGGACTGGCAGTCAGCAACAACGAAAAACACAAACACGTCATCGCGCAGCATCGCTCACTTATCAACTAGCTAGCTGAACAGGTATGGCTAACCGTCAATGATGGCAATGGGTACCCTGGGTCCCATCCCAAACACAGGCTAGCCAGACCATGCTATTTACATCCTATGCCATGATGCTCTGAACAGGCTGCTAGAGGGCTCCTACTCAAACTGAGTTTAATGACATTGACATGTCAATCAGAAACGTCCCCAGGGATTGACCGAATCTAGCTCGACGCGCACACTCTCTTTCCATAAAGAGTTAAACAAATCTGTCGCACTCCGGCGCCAGGAGCCAACCGATTGTCTGCTGAGCTAGTTAAAAGGAAAATCAGGGCGACTGATTTTACGTTAATTTGAGCGCAACTCTTACCTCTTGCCTTTTGTAGCATTCATGTTAATCAGGCTACCTACAAGCCTGGGACAAAGCGATCAGGCGGTCGAGTCCGTCGCTCGGACCGTCTGGCTGGCACCGGCGGC